AGATAAAGCAAAATGGGGCAGTGTTGGCAAATGCTAACCTTAGAACTAATATGTATGTACTGCAGTGTGAGTCTAAGGTTGCGAATGTGCAAAATGTCCCAACCCATGATATGTGTATTCATCTCCTGCACAGGCGTCTGGCTCATGCAAGCTATAAGGTGCTGAACAAAACATTGGAGTTGTGTGGGAGGATGAAAAACATAAAAAGTTGTGATAATTACTTAGACTGCAATATCTGCAAGGAGGTTAAAAGCAGGGCTTGCCCAGTAGCAAGAGCAAGCCAGAGAGAAACCAAAAAACCACTGGAGTTGATTCATGCTGATGTAACTGGTCCTTTTCCACCAAGTGTCTCCCATAACAAGTACTGTTTGATCCTAGTGGATGACTATTCTAGATTTGGCTGGGTCTATCCATTAAAGCAAAAGTCTGACGTTGCCCAAACTTTGAAGTTTTGGGTAAGAAGGGTAGAAAGGCAACTTGGCGAAAAGGTGTGCTCTATTCAGACAGACAGGGGAGGAGAGTTTATGGCAAGCTCCCTAAGAAACTGGTTGCGTTCCCAAGGGATTAAACATAGGCTTACCAATGTGGCGACGTCTCAGGAGAACGGGGTAGCAGAGCGTAGGGGAGGTGTCTTGCAGACACAAATGAAAGCATTATTAGCAGATGCAAATCTTCCAATTAAGTACTGGGCTGAGAGTATTAAGACTGCAAATTATGTTGGGAATCGCTTGTGGTCAAGGGTACTAGATGACATACCCTATAAAATTCTCTATAACAAAAGTCCCAGTTTGCAACATTTGAGAATCTTTGGGACAAAGGCATGGGTTGACATACCTGTAAAAAACTGAAGAAAAGGTGGGAAAAGGGCACAGCAGTTGCTGTTTCTTGGGTATGAAAGTGGTACGAAAGCCTATAGGTTTGAAGATGATAAAAATCTTTTGAGTTATAGTCGATCAGCCAGCTTTAATGAGCAAAGAAATTGGCCCAAGATACATGCAAACCTGCTGCCAGAAAAAGTTTTACTGCCGAGCATACCTGATAAGGCAGTTGAAACAAAGCTGAGAATTGGCAGCTCTCCCAAAGAAACTGAAAGGGAGGAGGTAAAGGTTGAGCATTTTTCTCCAGCTGCTAGCATAAATCAGGGGGGAGAAGAAAGTGCAATAGGGACAGGAGGAGGTAGATCTACAGAGTCAATCCACCCCAAAAGCAGTCCTGAAGGTAGCCCAGGGGGTGAGATTAATGAACCAAGGAGGTCTGCAAGAAGTAATAAAGGTCAACTTCCAGACCGTTATGGGTTCCCAGCCACCATAAACCAGGTTTGTGTAACTGAGCCAGAAAACTTTGAAGAAGTGCAAGAGTTACCTACTCTAGAGAAAGAGGCGTGGTTAAAGGCAATGCAGGCAGAGTATAACTCTCTGCTAAACAACAGTGTCTTTGTACCTACAGAATTGCCTGAAGGTAAAAAGGGGCTTTACACAAAGGAAAATGATACATTATGATGAAGTGTTTGCCCCAACAGCAAAGGCTGAAACAGTAAAATCAGTTTTAGCAATGGCAAGTCTGAGAGGGTTAAAAGTTAATCATTTTGATGTTGCCTCAGCATATTTAAATGCTCCTATTGACGCCGAGGTGTATTTACAGCAAATACCAGGTTATGAGCTGGAAAAAGACAGCATGGTGTTAAAACTGCAAAGGGCACTATACGGTTTACACCAAAGTGCACGTCTATGGCATGAATGCATAGACACAACTTTGAAAAAGATGGGATTCAAACAAAGCCTGGCTGATTCCTGTTTATATTCAGCAATGGTGCAAGGAAGTGTTTGTTATTTACTTTTGTATGTTGATGATATCTGTCTAATAACAACTGCACAAAAGCAAGTGTCTTGGTTTATAAACAGCCTAGGTAACAAATACAAACTGAAGTATTTGGGAGAGATTCAGAATTACTTAGGAGTAGAGGTTCAGAGAAATGAAGAGGGCATCTACTCTCTGAGTCAGAAGGAAAAAATCGAAAAGTTACTGAAGACATATGGAATGGAGAGGGCAAATGAGGTTGACACTCCCATAACTACCCAGTACAAAAATGAACCAGAAGGGCAAAAATGTGAGAATGCAACAGCGTTTCATTCTCTGTTGGGTTCTCTGTTATATTTAAGTTGTTGGACAAGACCCGACATAACATTGGCAGTGCACATGTTAAGCCAAAGAAGTGCAGACCCGGCTCAGAGAGATTGGGTAGCACTTAAAAGAATCCTAAGGTATCTGAAAGGCACAAAAGATTACAAACTCGTGCTGGATACAGGATATGATCAGCAAGTGTATGCATACGCTGATGCCAGCTGAGGGGACAGAGAAAATGGAAAGTCTACCACTGGCTATGCCATATATATTGGAAATGCCCTGGTTCAGTGGAAATCCCAGAAACAAACATTTGTTGCCACAAGTACTTGTGAAGCAGAGTACTCAGCCATAAGCGAATGTGTATCACAAATAGAATGGTTTGCTTGCCTAACAAAAGAGCTTGGAATACCTTCTGAAATGCCAATCACTGTGCTAAGTGACAACATGGCTGCACAACAGCTAGCCAACCAACAGAACTTTAAAAGCAAAAGTAAACATATTGCTATAAGATACGGAAATGTGAAAAATGCTTTGGAAAGAAATGTGTTAAAGGTACAGCACTGTAACACAAAACGTAATGTGGCAGATTTGTATACAAAATGTTTGGATGCTCCTAAATTTCGAGACTTAAGAGAATTATTAGGTCTCAAGCCTTTGACTTAAGGAGGAGTGTTGGGATTCGCAGGATACTGGATAAGTCTGCAGGCTTCAACAGGATGATGCAATACTTTGCTGGGTCAGAGTGACTCAGCAGGAGTGTGATTAGTGTAATTGGCTATCACCTGTTTTAAAAAGGAAAGCCTGTTTAACAGGTGGTGTGGTGGTTGTGCTGTAGTGTGGTGGTGCTGTGGTGAAGAGTATTCGTTTGTAAGTACTCTGTATGGACTGTTTCTTTTGTATATAGCCTGTATATAGCTCACATTAAAAAGGACTGCACTGAAAAACCTGGAACTCTTAGTGCTTTGCTGAAAACGCCGCGTGGAATACGCGACAGCTTGGTCAAGAAGAACCAGAGGCTTTGCCACCTCAGACACAATGCAAGTGAGATTACCATTTCACAAAAATTAACATGGCAATTTTTTAAAATTATTATTATTATTTACAACTTTACGATCTCTGAAGCCTAGAACTCATTCATTTGCCTTAGTACATGCAAAAAAAGGGAAATGGGCATAGCAGATGCCGTGTGGGTGGGTGGGTTGGTGGCTGCAAGAGAGGTGATCACAGGGGAACAGCAGACAGATGTGAAGGAACCTCCTCCAGCATTATTTGCATGACTTTCAGTGCATGTTTATTCAGAAGTGTTGGTGAGGCTGTGGGAAAGTATTTCTAGCACTTATTCATGAGATGGGTGCTATAAACAAACGAGGGGGCTAAAAACAGAAGAATTTATACTATATTTGGGGGTCCTGGGTATTGCTGCCTGAACAATTCAAATTCAAACTACACCAGGTGTCACAAGAGCAACTGAGTATCAGCTGCAGTTTTCTAATACTTAAAATATCTGAAGCACGTCATTTAGCACATAGTTTTACATAAGAAAAAGGTGAAGGAAACTTTTGTATTAGATGTGTAATTATTTAGAAACTTTTATGATGAAGGCCCAAGTTTTAAAAGCATATATTATATTATATTATATTATATTATATTATATTATATTATATTATATTATATTATATTATATTATATTATATTATATTATATTATATTATATTATATTATATTATTATTTTACACAAGTAAATATTATTTATTTTTTCTTTTTAAAGCCCAGTTAAATGTTACTGACCTTTTGTTTCTCTGTTATTTTAAAATTTTCATTCACAAATTCCACAGTAAACTGTTTTTTAGAACTCCTTACAGATCCCTTCAGTTTATCAATGAAGTGTTACTGATCCAAGAGGTAGAGTGTGTGCAAAATCACTGAGAAAATTATCTTCTGCTAGTCCCTTTGAAGTGAATGCAACTGAAGGGAGGGTGTTTATTGGGTTGGTTTTATTTTTATTATGCATTTCATGTTTTTATATTGTGATTTTATGTTGCAACCGCCCTGAGACCTGCGGGCATAGGGCGGTATACAAATTTAATAAGTAAATAATGAATGAAGATCCCAAATTGTCTTATACATGCACAATGCAAACTGGTGTACAACACCAACTTTTGCATGCAAAGTTTGAGATCATAGTGAATGCCAAGAGCCCTGCTGCTTCAAACCAAAGGTCCATCTAGTCACATTATGCCCTCTTACATGGTCAATAAAATGTGTATGGGAAGCGTGCAAGCAAGCAATATGTGCTATAAGATCCAGATGTCACTGCATAGACAATGGCAGCATTGCCTTAGTTCTCCAACCTACTGAGGTACAGCCTAGGAATACCTTCAGTTATAAAACTGAGGCATAATTCCTTGTATAATCTGTATAACACGGATTTTCTGGATGTCTCTACACTTTTTTCTGTAGCAGCAAATAAATCATGCAGGGCTACATATACTTTTAGAGCAGGGCTACATATACTTTTAGAACTACTGTATTTAATTGTCTGTAATGCTTAACATGGAATACAAATCTTTTTTTTGTTCCAAGTTAGAAAGGCTTACTTGAAAATGTACCTACAGGATGGTTGTCTTCAACTACCAGAGGGGAAAGTCGCCCACTTGCTTCTACTCCAACACAAATGTAGAAATTTTTTAAGCCATTTGGGACCAGAAAAACAGACCCCTTAAAGCTTCAGTCCCTTGGAAATCATAATGCTCTCTGCAAGTATTATTTATTCATGACCAAGAACTGCTGGCAATGTTTCCTGGTTTTGCCCACTATTACGTCATTTGAAAAACAAATTACCTTCTAAATCTCAAGCTGATGAACAAAAGATTACCTGATATGAAAATATTCCATGAGATGAGGTATTTATAAATAATGTACTTTCAAAACTGCCTTCTTCTAATGGAAGAAACAGTACTCTGAAACAATTTTTTCCCATTGCTGGAATCACCTACAGATAAAATAAAAGTATCTGGTGTTCAATAGAATTAATTGCATTAATTTTATTACAGACTTGTAAATTTTAAAAAGTGGGTCACCACCCACCCCTTGCCCCACTAGACTAAACATAGTGACAGTGGCCCATAGCCGCCATGCTCCCCTGCACCTTCCTATATGTAGTCTGAAGAGCAATAAGAAACAAGGAGGGGCTGCATAAAGAGACTGCATGCTAAGACAGAGGCTGGCTTCAAATGCAGCACTTAAACCAGGATTGCAAGTCACTTTACTTACAGAGATACAGTCTGGACCCAACCCAATCATGGTTAACATGATATGAATCATGACTTAGCATTATAATCGTAACAACCAGGAACCTCAGGCTCATATGCCCCCTCCTCCCTTTTCCTACACGTCACAATGAGAAGCTTTCAATCATGGTTAGCAGCAAACCATAGTAGCTTGCCAATGTACCCAAACTTATATAACCACCACTATTTAACTTAAACCAGGATTGCAAGTCACTTTACTTACAGAGATACAGTCTGGACCCAACCCAGTCATGGTTTAGCATGGTATGAATCATAGCTGTCAACTTTCAGATTTGAAAATAAGGGATCAGCAGCCTCACCTGTCCTGGGGACAGTCTGCGGGATATTTAACAATCCGGGATAGCAGCAGGAAGAAGTGGGAAACGGCGCTGGAATAAGGAAATTTCCTGCCCCCAAAAAGGGGAGGTTGACAGCTATGATATGAATGAGCTTGGGTTTGCATGCTTCCCCTCAGCCCTCTCCTCCTCTGGCTCCAGAGCACAAGGAGGAAATTGGAAACATAAACTTTAAAGGAGCATATCATTACATCCAAACTGGGAACTCTCATAAGTTTAAACGATTGTTTGTTGAAACAACCACAGTTTGACCTTGGCTCATTTCAACAAATCATAGTTTAAACAAGCTACATGTGTAAAAAAAATAACCCACTGTTAGAAAATAAAATAAAAGCTAGTTCGTTAAAAACAAGAAGCTTCTCATAGCAGAGGAGAGTAACAAGGGGGAAAGGGCAGAGTCTTCTGAGGGAGTAAGAGTCATTTGGAGGGCGGAGAATGATTGAGCTGGAGGAGAGAAGACAACTGACAAGGATGTATTGAGTTTTAAGTGTATTGGAATCCAAATGCAGGTGAAGCCACAAGCAACAGGGGCTGAAAAAGCAACGAGCAACAGTAAAAATCAGATACTTCTGAGGGACACAGAAAGCATATATTTTTTGGGCACCGAAAATGTATGGGGAAATGTTCAGCTCAGCCCTAATAGAAATAAATGGGAAGACCAAGAACAAGCTGATGGCTGGGAAAGTAGGAAAGAAAGACCAGTTAGCTAACGCTTTAGGGCCAAGAAAGCATGAAACTCTGGCACTCTGCCCTAGCATAGTTTCCAAAAGTACATCAGCACTCACCCTGCTATGAACAGGAGACACATGAAAATGCCTAGTAGCTGTAAACATTGAATTCACTATAACATCTTTATCCTTACTAGGATTGTAAGCACATAGCATTTTAGCTTTAGGCAGTCCCAGCAACCTAAGGGAAAGAAGAAAGGGAAGTATTATTGGCAATGGAAAGAATGCAGTCATGTTTTCCACTCCACACGCAAACATACAGTGTTCAGAAAAACCCCTACAACTTGGGCCCATTGGAATTTAAACCAAAGATAACTTTGGGATACAGACACAATGTGGTTCGGCATGACATGAACAAATCCAAGCCAAAAGCCACCTCCTCATCCAACGTTCCCTTTTCATGAGAACCAGCAGAAGTCCAACATTGTCACTTGAGGCCCAGGAGGCCTTGATGGCTATGAGTGCCTATTTCTAATTCCAGCTGGTTCACCAGCTACAGCCCCTTTTGGACAGAGATAACTTGGCTATGGAACTCCACGCTCTGGTAACTTCCAGATTGGATTACTGCAGTGCGCTCTACATAGGGCTGTTCTTGAAGATAACTCTGAATGCAGTGGTTCAAAATGCAGTGGTCAGATTGCTGAATAGGGCTGCCTTTAGAACTCTTACGGTTGTTCTAAAACTGCTATGTTTGCTGTCAGTTGATTTCCAGCCTCAATTCAAGGTGTTTAAGTGTTTAAAACCCTATAGGACTTAAGCCCCCAAAATCTGAGAGACTGCCTCCTTCCCTACAGACCTTCTCTGGGTGTTAAGATCAGAAGGTGGACCCCTTTTGGTGGTTCTGCCCTCCTCAGAAGTACAAGGAAGGCCCCCCAGAAAAGGGTGTTGTGAAATTCCTTCCCACAGAGACATGTTTGCCACCTTCATCTTTCAGCAAATGCTGAAGACACCTTGCTCTTTGACACCTGAGATGGTTGTTTTCAAGACCCATCCCACTCCTGTGGATGTAACTTGTTTTAACTGTTTTTAATTCAGAATTTTATATTGTAGCAACCAGCCCTGGGGGCCCGCTGGTGAAGGGGAGGTGGTGTTATTATTATTAGTTGTGTGTTGCAATCCTGCTTGAGTAAGAACTATGTACTCTAAGCTGCCAAGGAACCGGACACAGAAAGGAGGGTGGAAACATTGTATGCAATGCAAAATGGAAGGGAATTACAGACTCTTCTGGGGAAAGAATTTCCTGGGATACAGAATAAAAGTATGCAAAATACTCACTGCATTCCAAAATGGAGAATTGAAGGGTGAAAATGAAGGACCCTCCCATTTGACATTTTCGCAGAGAAGCTGAAAAAGAAGAGAACAGTAATTATAAAACCATATCCCTTTTCACAAGATCTCAGATTATATGTAGACTGTACTGGCATCGCTCGATTTTCCTTTAAGAATACAAGGGAAATCAAGACCATAACTGCCACGCCACAATTCAAAATTAACTCTGTCAAAAACTGTTACTGATTCACACAGCTTCACTCTAAAATACAGTCATATCTCAGGTTAAATATGCTTCAGGTTGAGCGTTTTCAGGTTACTCTCCGCGGCAACCCGGAAGTAACGGAACGTGTTACTTTCGGGTTTCGCCACTAGCACATGTGCGCAAAATGACGTCATGCGCAGAAGCAGCAAATCACGACCTGCGCACACGCGGGTTGCATTCTACTCAGGATGCGAATGGGGATCTGGAATGGATCCTGTTCCCATCCAGAGGTACCGCTGTATAAAGAATACACATGCACAATTAATTATTCCTAGAAACCCGCAAGCACAAACCTGGAATACAGGCCTGACAACAGTCCCATTCAGGCATTCAGCTGAAGGTGTGAGAGCATTAGTGCGTACACTACCCTCAGTCCCAATGTTCCTGCCTGCTTCATCCTGACCTTCCTACAGATAAAGTGGACTGAGATGGTGCGTACATCACTTGCCTCTATTCCATTTATGGCATGTCTTTGGCTGAATGTCTGAAGAGAGCTAATATGCTTAGGCAAAAGGCTGTAACAACCAAATCAAATTAATAAGGGACAACATAAGCAACTGGGACAGGGGAAAGGGAGAAATCCAATTATAAGCAATAAAATACCATAAACTTGATATACTCCTCATAACAGCTTAACATATTGATTTGTACAAAATTATGTCAGATTCTGAAAGTTGTATTCTCTTCCCGATGCCATTTAGTATTCAAATTTTTATAAGGGATAGATCCAAAACTGTATTCTGAACAGAAAGCAGCACAACCCCCACCTTCCGCTGAGAATAGACAAAAATAAATAAATGATGTGGAAGAGATCCCACATCAACAGTCCTCAAATGCAACTCCCCTGGTTCATAAATAGCCTCATGACAACTGTGGATAACCATCGTGGGCATTGTTCAAAATCAAGAGGAGACTTATAGAAACTCTCGGGTTAACAAGAAATGAACTCTGATAAAGGTCAAGTTCGCACATAACAGTAAGCTTGGCTCACTTAACCCACAGTGTGAAAAAGCATCATGCTAGAACACAACGCATTTGCTTCCACTTTACTCCTCCCTTGGTGCAATGGTAGGGAGAAACCCAGGGAATTAAAGCTCACAAAGCAAAACACGTCAGCAACGAAGCAGGATTTTACTCCTGGAAAAATAGTTATAAATATATTTGTACTATCTGAGGAGAAACCAGAGCATGTTGTTGTTGTTTGTTGTTTAGTCGTGTCTGACTCTTCGTGACCCCATGGACCAGAGCACGCCAGGCACTCCTGTCTTCCACTGCCTCCCGCAGTTTGGTCAGACTCATGTTTGTAGCTTCGAGAACACTGTCCAACCATCTCGTCCTTTGTCGTCCCCTTCTCCTTGTGCCCTCCATCTTTCCCAACATCAGGGTCTTTTCCAGGGAGTCTTCTCTTCTCATGAGGTGGCCAAAGTATTGGAGCCTCAGCTTCACGATCTGTCCGAGTGAGCACTCTGGGCTGATTTCTTTAAGAATGGATACGTTTGATCTTCTTGCAGTCCATGGGACTCTCAAGAATCTCCTCCAGCACCATAATTCAAAAGCATCAATTCTTTGGCGATCAGCCTCCTTTATGGTCCAGCTCTCACTTCCATACATCACTACTGGGAAAACCATGGCTTTAACTATACGGACCTTTGTTGGTAAGGTGATGTCTCTGCTTTTTAAGATGCTGTTTAGGTTTGCCATCGCCTTTCTCCCAAGGAGCAGGCGTCTTTTAATTTCGTGACTGCTGTCACCATCTGCAGTGATCATGGAGCCCAAGAAAGTAAAATCTCTCACTGCCTCCATTTCTTTCCCTTCTATTTGCCAGGAGGTGATGGGACCAGTGGCCATGATCTTCGTTTTTTTTGATGTTGAGCTTCAGACCATATTTTGCGCTCTCCTCTTTCACCCTCATTAAAAGGTTCTTTAATTCCTCCTCACTTTCTGCCATCAAGGTTGTGTCATCTGCATATCTGAGGTTGTTGATATTTCTTCCGGCGATCTTAATTCTGGCTAGGGATTCATCCAGCCCAGCCTTTCGCATGCAATTCTGCATATAAGTTAAATAAGCAGGGGGACAATATACAGAATTGCTGTACTCCTTTCCCAATTTTGAACCAATCAGTTGTTCCATATCCAGTTCTAACTGTAGCTTCTTGTCCCACATAGAGATTTCTCAGGAGACAGATGAGGTGATCAGGCACTCCCATTTCTTTAAGAACTTGCCATAGTTTGCTGTGGTCGACACAGTCAAAGGCTTTTGCATAGTCAATGAAGCAGAAGTAGATGTCTTTCTGGAACTCTCTAGCTTTCTCCATAATCCAGCGCATATTTGCAATTTGGTCTCTGGTTCCTCTGCCTCTTCTAAATCCAGCTTGCACTTCTGGGAGTTCTCGGTCCACATACTGCTTAAGCCTGCCTTGTAGAATTTTAAGCATAACCTTGCTAGCGTGTGAAATGAGTGCAATTGTGCGGTAGTTGGAGCATTCTTTGGCATTTCCCTTCTTTGGGATTGGGATGGAGCAGGAACCGGCAAGCCACTCCAGTATTCCTGCCAAGAAAACTCCATGGACAAAGACAACCAGAGCATAAAGTTTATCAATTGGCATGTTAAGACTTAATTTTAAAGCCTTATAATTAAAATCAGCAGTGGAGCTTCAGAGGTTCCCATAATTCAATATGCTCTCTTGACTTTCTACCCAGCCAACTTGGCACACCTTTCCAGACCACCTGCAAGTTTGTGTTCCTCCCTCTTTTGTTGCTCAAAGCTTTTATTCCTAATATGAATTATTGTAAAAGAGCTGAAATCTGTGATCCTATGGACACTTAACTGGGGTAAGCCCTACTGCAGGGGTCAGCAAACTTACCACACCTCAGGCCGGTGTCTCCAGCGCCAATCACGCAGTGGGCCAGAGGGTGGGGGAGCGCGTGCCCATACGCGTGCGCACATGCTATTTCTGGCGCACTTCTGGGTCGAAGGAGCACCAGAAATAGCTTGTGTGCATGTGCATGGGACTCCTCCGACCCGGATGTGCACCAGAAATAAGGCTTGCGCATGCACACAAGCTATTTCCGGTGCTCCTCCGACCCTGAAGTGGGCAGCCGCACAGTGCAGCACCGGCAAGAGCGGGCGGCGGGTATCACCGCAGGCCGGATAAACAAGTCCCTTGGGCCTTATCCTGCCCTCAGGCCTTAGTTTGGGGACCCCTGCCCTACTGTATATAGTACTTACTTCAGAGTACATATGCATAGGGTTGAACTAGTTTCTAAAAGAAGATTCTCACAAATATATACATGAAGCAATTATATATGCTCCCCCTCCCCCAAACAATTTTATGGTCTAACAGGTTCTTTGCTTTCTAAAATGTAGATAAATAAAATCTTTAAAAAAAAACAACCAAGCAGCAATACACATTTTTGTTTGCTTATTTTTATCTGCAGTGGGGAAATCTTTCTTGCCAAGTTCTCAGAGGTTTTACATTTCAGGTTTTTTAAAAAAACGCACTTTAAAAAAGCACAGAGTTTATCCAAAAACTTACACAGGAGCTTGAACCTAGTTTTAATCATCATAGGCACAATGCCAAAGAAAAGCACATGTTATTGCATGCCTAGGTTTGTGATTTTCCCAGTTCACTCCCATGAACACAAGGCCTATTCCATACACACAAGCCTGCAGCTACATTAATTTCAATAGATGCCAAACAGCAACACTGCATGGAAACATGACTTCATCGTTAGTTAGTTAGTTAGTTAGTGTGTTTGTTAATGCATTTCTTCTCCACTTTTTATCCAAGGAGCTCACGGTGATGCACATGGTTCTCCCTCTCCCTAGCTTTTCCTCACAACAGCCCTGTGAGGTGGGTTAGACTGATTAACAGTGGCTGGCCCAAGGTCATCTAGTGAGCTTCATGGAAGAGCGGAGAGTCTCTCAAGTCTTAGGCCCAGTTACAGATAGGTAGCCGTGTTGGTCTGCCATAGTCAAAACAAAAAAAATTCCTTCCAGTAGCACCTTAAAGACCAACTAAGTTAGTTCTTGGTATGAGCTTTCATGTGCATGCACACTTCTTCAGATACACTTCAGATACACTTGTGTATCTGAAGAAGTGTGCATGCACACGAAAGCTCATACCAAGAACTAACTTAGTTGGTCTTTAAGGTGCTACTGGAAAGTCTTAGGCCATCACTTTAACCACTACATGACCCTGACTTTGTTTTATTTATTTATGTATCGGTTCCATTTACAGACCACTTACTATCTGAATATCTTGAAATGGTTTACACTAGATTAAAATACATAAATATACATCTAAACACAGTAAGTACCATCAAAACCACATAAGTACCATCAAAACATGAATACATAAACAATACCAATATACCTAAAAACAATATTGATAAAAGTCTAAGAGCACTACAAGGCAGTATAATGTGAAACTACCATCAAAACAACACGCATCATTCATTCATACAACCAGCTCAACCCATCTCATTCATGCTCCATTCCACACAACTAGTATAATCATTCAAGACCTCAAACATCTCCATCAACCAACCACATGGATCTACACCACTCTAAACCAGTGGTGTCCAAACTTTTTTCAAAGAGGGCCAGATTTGATTAAGTGAAGGGCTGTGAGGGCCGACCAAAGGTCCAACCAAAGTTATTGACCTTTTTTAAGGATTGAAGTTGTTGACCTTTTTGTTGTTGGGTTTATTTTTTTGGGGGGGGGATTTTACCCCAGGAAATAAACTGCCACAGGGGCTGGATTAAACCAACCGGATTAGGCCCCCGAAATGGTATTTGGACATGCCT